CACAAAAATCTGAATTATGGAACTGAAAGTGAAAGTAGTCAAACTGAATTTTTAATAAACCAAAATACAGTTTCAAAGCAAATTAATTCAGATACAAAACTTTAAATTCTGTTTTGTAAAATTCATTTTCAAACCAGTGCATTCAGTTTCAAATTCTGCAGATTCAGATTCAATCTGAATCTTTTAGCTTTGACAGGTTTAAATGTAATTTTCTTGTCCCGTCTTGTTTTCTGTCCTCTCAGGCTGGTCACTCAGAGAAACACCTCAACCATTTGTACACGGTTCCTCCCGATCACAGCCGCCTCCTCTTCTGTCACGGCTTCCCCGCTAGTTTTCAGAAGCAGGCAGGTTCTTTGGATGTGGAACAGAAATAAAACCTGTTAATTTGCTGTATCTAACGTGAAATACTCGTGTCGACCGGGGAGGTTTAATGTTTTTGCTGCGACTCTTAGGTAAAGACGTTTAATGAAAGCTGCATCATGGTGAGGCCGCCGGCCCTGGAGCTCATCTCCTACCTGAAACAGACGGACTTCAGCAAACCTGCCCAGAGATATTTGTTCTGTATCCTTCAAAACAACCACATCCTGACAGAACGGTGAACTCTCTCTTTACGTTTCTGCGGTTTTCCTCCTGATTGAAGTGCTCAGATGGGCGGAAGGGAACTGGGAAAACCATGTCTCTTTGTCACACGGTGCACTTCTGCTACACGCAGGGCTGGCTGGTGCTGCACGTTCCTGACGGTGAGGCGCTCACACACCACCTCTCAGAGCTGCAGAGCCTTTAAAGTTAGGATCCTCAAACTGCGTCTCCTCTGCTTTAAACAGCTCACCTGTGGGTGAAGAACTGTAAGGAGCTGCTGCCCTCATCCTACAAGAAGTCTCGCTTGGATCAGCCGCTGCAAGCCAACACGTGGTTACGCAACTTTAAAATCACCAACGAGCCCTTTCTTTCAAAGGTAAGATTGAAAGTGTCCTGTTTGTCGCTGTCTCTTGGCGTTACAACAAATCAGCGAGGGTTTATTGACTGACCAATGAGAGGAGAGTATGCTACACACTGCAGTTAGCTAACACTTTCACCGTTATTTTAGCTCTGTCAAACTCTAGTTTTATACGACCCTTCACCAAGTGATTACTAAAAAAGGCAGCTTTATGGGAATTTGTTGGCACCAGGGTGAAGTTTTCCCGTGTTTTTCATCATAAAATTGTATCTTGGTGTGTTTGTTTTTCAGCATCATTAGCATCGCAACATTTAGTTTACACGTCCGTAATGCACACACCCGTTTTTTGCAAATAACCAACTGTGTTGTATGTTGTATAAAACAGCAGTTCTTAACCTTTTTGACCTCAGGGACCAATTTATTGAWCATAAAGTGRCACGAGGCCCAGTCAGACATTACTAATGTATGGATCAAAATGATAACTATTCTAAATCTTGGTTTAATTTTTATTGTTTTTACATTATAACTAAATAAAATACACTTACAGTTTAAAAGTAAAATTCCTGTCAAATAATCACAAGACATGATTATGACAAACAATTTTATATTGTAACCTGCCCATAACAATTATTTGAACAAATACAAAAGTCAGTCAACAGACCACTCAGGCTTATCAGCACAAATATATATATATTTTTAACATAAATAACAAAAATTGGAAATTCAGTAAATAAAATTGTGGGCATAAGGTAAATAAATTAAAAATGATTAAATGTTTCAAATACAAAAAAAAAAAAAAAAAAACCCTGTAAAACTAAATTTGATAAAGTACAAATGAAAATCAAGCCTTTTTAAACTTTTGCAACCAGAAGCTGCTCTTCATATTAGTGACAAACAACAACAGTAACAACAGCTTTTCGACAAGTTTAAAGTTTCTTTAACATGCATTAAAAATGTTTTAAAACAAACTACAAAAATTATTTAAAGTGCAAATTAAAATATAGTTGTATCTGCAACTGTATTTGATAATGTTTTGAACTTTTAAAATATTACATGGTTAAAAACAGAAGCTGCTCTTCATATTAGTGACAAACTTTGGYSTTTTTTGATGAGTTACTTTCATTTTTGCTTCTACTTTTCATTTAAAATAAGTTTCCATTCTCAGCAGGTTTCTAAGGTTCTTTTTCTACATATTAAAAAGTTGTTAAACATCTGAGTGGTGCACTACTGCTRCTAGTGGTGAGAAAGTGTATTGCACCTTATTCAAAATCAGTGCGGTCTCACGGCCCTCTGCGGCCCAAAATTAAAAACTGTTGTTGTTTTGAGGCCCTCAAGGTGGCGCTGTGGCCCACAATTGGGCCGCAGCCCATAGGTTGAGAATCTCTGGAAAGGGATACTTGAGTAAAAGTACGAATATCTTATCATAAAAATACTTTGGTATGCTTCTCTAAGAATAATACTTGAGTAAAAGTCTTAAAGTATCTGATATTTTTTGTACTTAAGTATTAAAAGTAAAAGTGAGCAGTTAGATTTTCCAAAATGACCTCCAAAAAACATTTTTTCTAACGACGTGCAGCTGTGATGGGTTGTGTACAATCTAACATGGTGTCTGAGTGGTATATACAGTATTTATACTTTATATGTAATTTAAAAAAAATAATAACTCAGAATAAAATAGGAGTGATGACTTTCTACTTCTTGCCTTTTTAAAAAATATAGTGAGTAGAAAGTACAGATAATTGTGTGAAAATGAAAGGAGTAGAAGTAAAAAGTAGGCTGAAAAATAATTAGTATTTGTACTTAGTTACTTTACAACTCTGACCACCAATAACCTTTACAAGAGGCAGTAGAAGAACCAATCAAATTCTTTGAAGACAAGCAAACCGAGAGCGCGATTCACAACGCTGTCGTCGCTATGACGTCCCGTGTGTCGAGCCCATTCTGCTGCTTTTCACTCCTTTTTCTGATTAAAATGTTAAACTGTGCTAAAACACAAGGACAGCATCATGAAGAGGAGGAGGAGCCAGGCTGTTGTGGCTGTGTATGGTTCTTCCACCTGCCACTGAGCCTCCTATTTGTTAAATGAAAAAGTTGGTAAATTACCAAAATGTCTTGTTTCTTCAAACTTCAATCATCCAGTCCACCAAACAAATCAATGGCAGACTAAGCTGTTTGGCAACCCACGTTCCTTACAAATGTGGCTCCATTTAAAAACGAATTTAACAGACTTTATAACAGTATAAGAGTTATTGCCAAGAAGTATTGTTACAACAATAAAATAATCCACCAAACACACATTTCTTTACTTTTTGTGATAAATTTGGTGCTGAAATTCTGTTTTATCTGGTGTTTCTCAAACATTCAGTAAAAGAAATCGGAACAAATCATGTCACAGCGACGGGCCGCAGGTAACAAAGAGCCTATAGATCCAGTTTATAATTGGTCCATTGTTCAGTTGTGTGTCGACACAACGCTGGGCTGAGGAGGCTTTTCAGGCCCGAGTGACTCATAAGAGTCAAACAGGAAGAAGTTTCACTGAAGGTTCAGGTAATAAACTGATCATATTACTGACTTAGTATTTAAAGACACAGAGAACGTGTACGCTGCTTCATATTTTTGTGTTTTAGTGTATGTGATGTGTGTGATGGTGAGTTGTGGGAAATTTGGCTCATAATAACAAACCATTTCTGGGAAAGAAACCAGGAATTTCCAAATATAAACATCAAAAGACAAACGATCCATTTTTCTTTCTTAGATAAAGACGACGCAGCGCTACGTGTGGACGAAGAGGGAGGTTACTGAGGAGGGGAGTCTGCTGGGAGAGCTGGTGGATCAGGTGAGTCCTCTGGTGTGCTTACACAGGTGGTTTCCTTCACCCACCTGAATCCCTCTGGGGTCTTAAAGGGCCTGGGACATGAAATGTTTGTAATAAACATGAATGTATTTTTGGAAACATAACATTGATAATATATTTAAAAAAGAGATTTCACACTGCTGAGATGAACAGTTGTTGAGATATTTGCATGTGAAGTAACAGGAAGTGATGTCAGAGGGGAATTTCTGCATGTAAACAGACAACACAGACAGAATCTGATGTTTCTTTAGATTATTTTAATCACTATCATAAGCTGTGTTTCCGTTACAAATGTGCGCAAAACTTTGTCGATATTCTGTTAATGTCGGAAAAAAACACAGTTTCACAACTGCGGTGTTTCCATTAAGTAAGAAATGTTATTAAAGTCACGTGAAT